AAGCCTTGAATGTACTAAATGTGCGCTCGACGTAAGTTGATACAAGTGGAGCCCAATTTAAATATGGAACGTTTGAAACGTTCATATTATCAAGAATAAGGGCGTTTTCCTCGCCATTTACAATTTTATCCACACCCCTTATTGTCTCAAAGCCTATGTTAGCTGAGAAAACGGCTTTGAATGTTTCCAACACCAATTTGGCAAGAGGTATCTGCGCTTTTATAAGCTGCATGGGCATTTGCATATTTTTTAATCTTAAAAAAAAAATTGTAAATGCTATAATCACTTTTTTAAAGGTAGAAAAGGCAAAAAAAAGTCAAATATCTTAAAAAAAGCAAAAAAAGGCAACATCAAATGTGTATATATGGAATCAGGGAAAGCTAAATTGTGGACATTCTTAATCGAATATACTCTATCTCCTTAGCAGAAAAAAAGGCAATTTCCATAAAATTCGTTCCCTGGTGATAAGTCTCTATAACCCCATGTTATTAGGCTTCTTAACTTTCCCGGTGATTTTACTTGTAAGCAAACAATTCTTTTTTCATCCCATAAACCTTACTTTATGTTCAAAAACATTTTTTGTTTTCAAATGTTATGTACAGGGAACGGATTTTATGGAAATTGCCTTTTTTTCTGCTAAAAAGATAGACTATATTCGAGTGTCTTTTTCGCTATTTTGTTTTGCCTTTTTTTGCCTTTTTTGCAACACCTAGTGCCTTTTCCTGCCTTTTTCACTATTTTATTTTGCCTTTTGCAGCCTATTTCGTTATTTTATTTTGCCTTTTTTTATAGGTTTTTGGGTCCTAAAAATACGTTCCCTGGTTATGTAGTTTTTAAATAACCACCAATAGAGAGAGAAAGAGAGAGAGATAGAGACAGATATGTGTAAGTACTGGTATGTATACGAGTACACGCTCCATCTGTCGTACAAACTAACATCACAATACACATATTGTAAGTACAAATTTTAATCTCAAATTCAAGTTAAATTAATCAATTGCAACATAATTCGTTGCACACTTATCACACATGAAATAATTTAATATGTTAATACTTAAATATTTCTTTATTATTTTATAAAATGTGGTTTCAAATCAAAAGTCTATGTTTAACCACTCGAGCGTGTGTAACAAGTAATGTATATCAGTGCGAATCAATCATTTGTTTACTTGAGGGTCAAGTGAACATATTTACATGCATGCCATTTATTGCGTCATATGAGACTTTGCTTGAACATACTTACATATATACCTAATAGCTCAACTTAAGCCAAGAATTTATTAAGTTTTTCAAGTGAAAGTTCCTTAGCGGCGGTTGGTTGGTTGGGAGTAAATTGAAAAATTCAACGGAAATGGTTGGGGCTGTGTATCCGACATATTTTAAGCGCGATGTCTTAATTTTTTAATCTAAAATTTTTATTCGTGTAATTCATGTAATCCTGAAAAATTAAACACACTGCAACTATTCCTATTCGTCACTTCGTCTTATAACTTGGAAATATGATTATGGTCCGTGAAGTGCATCTACGGATATACGGATACGGTGATTCTAGATGAGTATGGGTATGCTTTTTAATTTAATATATGTAAATATGCATTGTGCCAAAGTAACGTCCAAAGTCATGGCAATTAAGTATCATTACTTTTATTAAAAATTCCACCTTCCTTCTGTATGCGAGATTTTGCATGCCTTAGTCACTTATTATTCACTAATTTACACACACACGCAATGCAATCCAAAGACTTTCGCCTAATGTTATATTCATATGCAACTTGAGGTACCAACAAAATGAACAATTAGTTTGAACACTCCTTTCTGATGTAATGTACGTGAAAGCTTGCGTGTTAAAACTTAAACCATTTTATTAAAAATTTCGCTTTAATAAACCTTTAACAGGTGAGGTGTTTGCACTAGATTAAAAGTTACTCATACAACGTGGCGTGACTTTCAGTCGAATGCTTGGGTTTTATTTAATTTATTCAATTACGTTATTTAGGAGCACTAATTGAGGTTAAATTTGAGACAAATATAAAGTAAAGCTTCAAATTATATATTAAATGAAATTATACTGAACACAAGTACAATACCGAATATGTTTACTGGAACAATAACAGAGAGGCAACTAAAATTAAAACCAAAACTTTAACTAAAACTAAGAAATCGCCATAAAATGAAAATTATTTATTTCCATTTTAGCGTAAACCGAAATTAATATAGCAAATATAAACATAATAAGCCCTTTCGCTTATAAAATTAAATTTTTACTAGTATTTTAAACTTGTCATAAAACAAACTAATTTTGAAAATAGGCTGATGCCTGATGAGAAAATCTTTGAGCTTTTTCTTCTGGACTGTTTAATATGGGGATTTTAAAATCATCACTAAAATACAGCCCAGTATTTTTATTGGTTTATGGAGAGTAAGCACGGTTTTAAAAACTATCTAGCTTCGCTAGATAATCCAGGCAAATGCCATATCTCTTGTCTACGATCACTTCCATCTTTCAGATTTAATTTTAGACCTCCAAGCAATTAATAACACAAGTAAAGAGCAGTTGCAACCGGATCCCAACAGTTTGAAACTTTACTTGCGAATGACATTCTTAAATATTTATTTAGTTAGAGCACCTCATACTTCAACAGATCACTGCTTTCCCCGAAAAACAAATCACAAGCAGTTCGCTGACGACCTTAATGTTGATCTTAGAATATGCAGATTCAGTGCTGATTGTATTACTTGTCTACTTGCATCATTTTGAATGCATTTTAGTGCCGATTTTCTTAAGTGCGAGCATACTTCTTTTTCTTTTGTTTTCAATAGATTTATTTTCCTCACAATTCGAAATAATCAATGTCACGTATACGCCCAGTTGCACTTAGTACTGTTTGCCTACAACCACTTCTAAAACATACAAATTTACTTAGTTGTAACACATCCTTAAGCACCACCTTGCACAATGCGGAGAGCATATTTTTCGCCCGAGTAAAATTCAAACTAACAAAGGAACGTGCCCTCTGAGTGAACTTACCGATTATGAGTGTTATTTGCACGCACAAACACAGTCACACATTTACAATCTTCCATATGTATATACATTGTACATATATGTATATGCGTGCATGCCTATGCACTTGGCCAGCCGACATTGTGCATTTGCATAAGTACTTATGAATGCGCACTTACATGCATATTGCATGACATTGAAAAAGAAATTCAACAATTTTTGAACATCGCCGCCGCCACGTTCAAGGGCGCCTTGACAAGGCATTGAAAATTATTTGCAAGTGAATGCTTGTTATTGAAGGAGAAAAATGCAGTGGCGCTGGTCGGGTATTATAACATTTTGGTAAGTGTCACTATGAATGTGTTAAGTGTGCTTGTATGCCTGTTGGCGCGTAGCTGAGTTTTATCGCCGATTCGCCGCGGGTATACAAATTACACTGCACTAATTTCTTCCACGCCATTGATTGCGGAAATGCATTGAAGCAGCGGTAGCACGTCGGCGCGTCGGTGCAGGCGCTAAAATGCACTGGTTGTCAGCGGCTGCTGCGAATGGCAAGCGGCATTGCTGCGTGGTGGTCATAAAAGAGTGGAGTGAGTGCTGCATAAATTATTGCCTTTTGGAGGCGGGTGGTGGAAAAATATTTTTTTTTGTGTTTTTAATTTATGCGCGAATCGTTATTGTATTTTTTAAGGTTGCATTTAATCACAATTGCATTTAGCATTTTCTCCGTTTTATTTATTCGTTTTGAAAGCAGGTGCTCAAAAAAAAATAAAGCATTAATTTCCATTTTTATAGCATTTCAACCAATTAGATAGCTTATATTACATATATCATTGGTATTTCTGTTTCTTTTTATTATGTCTCTATTTACATAGCACCATTTTGTGCTGCAAAAATTATTTTGCCTTTTTTTACGATTACTTAAATTCTTTTATTGGAAATAATTATTTTCATCATTTAAATTGATTTTAAATAAACTAATTATGATGCTGTTATAATAAAAAAAAGTTCACCAAATCCTCGCCTGAAAAAAAGCAGTCATGGAAATTGTATCTCCACACAAAGTACGTATGTAGGTCAACAGCTGCTGTACATTTATTTAATTACACAATCTTTATATCCACCTGCTGTTCAAGTGCAATTAAATAAGCTGTAATTAATGACGACTGAACATTTGATACTGTGTTAAGTGGTTATGTGAAAGCCACCAAGCAATGCTGTGGCAATGCACAATTTTCGAATTTTTTTTAATCATTAAGGAAGATTTGCAAGAATTTCTGCACGCAACATTCGATGGAGTGTTTTAAATTGTGATGGTTTTTTTAAAGTCGGCACTTTTATAAATAATATAAATAAGTTACCTAAGTTTCAAAAGTCAATATTTAAACCAAAAAAATTTATCGTACATTTAGTACTAAAGGGAATAAACTAAAAAATTTAATTTTGTAAGAAAACGCAATAAAAATTTGAACAATTCATGTAGTTGGAATACAAAAAAAAACTATATATATATGAAGTGCTAGGTTATTTGTCGGACTGAACATGTTTTCCTTATCGAGCTTAGTATGTAATTTTATTATAAAATCTCAAAAAACGTAAACTTTGAATTAGTCTTATTTATTATTAAAAGTGGTAGATGCAAGTTACAACTTTACTTTACTTCACGGAGCGTAACGGCTATGATCTCTTTAATGAAAATAATCATTTAACCGTAAACAATTCCTTTCTCTATTTCCAATATAATTAACCGTTATTTTATGATTGTTACTTTTTTTCACCATAAATAGTAATTTTGTGGATTCTGCTGAAGTCTGGAAAAAAGAAGTCTGACGGGAAGATGTGGTGATCTCCGAAATAGTGCTATAACTTCTACCGCTTAGACTTTGTTGCTTTTTCAATTTTTCCTAATAAACAATCGTGGTACAAAGCTCGATAAAAATATTAGAAATAAAATGTTAATAAGCCACAATAACATTAAACATTTTTGTATACTTACAATATGTGTCTGTCGTTAGACGATCGATGGTGTCTTGTTTCAATTTTGAACTCTTTTTACCCATTGTGGTGGCGGTGCTGCTGACGGTTTAGATTCACAACACGGAGTTCGCTTAACGTCGGGTTATATAGAAGACCTTTCGACTTTATAAAATAGGTATAATTTTTCGGAAGAATTAAATATTAACTCCGAACTTTTGATAAATTTCTGTTCTATATATTCGTTGTTTTTATGCGCTCAAGAATTTTAATGTGAAATATTCAATTAGGGAAGATACTAGGGGACTTGCAAGTTTGATAGTTTCTACGTAGCATTTGTCATAATGGCTCAAACATCTTAAGCGTTGCACTGGCTGGAGATCTGAAAAATTAAGAAAGAAAAATGAAGAGTTAGCCATGTAGTTAAATATATTATACTTAGTTAAATAAAATCACTTGGCATTTATAAAATAACTTCGCATACTAGCTCATAAATATAAGAATTACATAAAAACATTTTCACTTAAACGTGACCATAAATATTTGATTTAAATAATTTACTCTTCTGAAATTACAAAATAGTATTCCTCGTGCTTATCCACTAAATATTTTAGAAGCCCGCTGCAGCCTCTGTTTAGGGCATTGCTTAGTTTAGCTACGTAAATTTTTGGGTACTTTAACGTCAGTTTACTTCATCAACAATCAGATACGCCTTTTTGGGGCTTCAAAATATGTTTATTTAGAATCACTTAATGGGATTTTTTTTAAGTTTCATTTTCCCATAAAGTTGAAACAGTCACAGATTGGTTGAGTCTAGCAGGTCATTGCCAATTGTGTTAAATTTTGTTTATACGAACGAACCGAATACTCTGGAAGCCTTAGATGGCAACACTGTGCGAACCATTGCAGAGATACGGCCATGGGGGGCTTTAAAAAAAAATATCCAAAATTGGATTCTCGGAGTACACATCCCTGCAGGGAGTCACGTTGGCTTATACCTACCTGTTTATGCGAACACTATAGTGCTAGCTATTAACTGTATATTTTGTTCAAAAAAAGCTAACTTCTTTTGGGGGCGATGGCCGCAAAAGGGAAGACCTGGATACCTCTGCCATACATGTCAACTAACTTGTAACTAACTACTTTTGGACAAAAAATTAAAAAAAAAAATCATTTTGTTAATTTTAATTTGTGTTTTTTTTTACATTTTTATTCTTTTTTATTTTTTTCTGCAGGAGGTGGTAGTATATTTGAATACGGTCAGAAATAACATCAAAATGATAATATGAAATTTCGAACTTCTTTCTCTTTGTCCTGAATACCAAAAATAGTTTGTGAAGTGCAGAAAAAAATTGATTTAAAGTAGTTTTTTTGAGGATTTTTAAATAGAACCTTGTAAAGAAAACAAACTCCCGATTGCGTCTGCATAACTCCTGCACGACTGTACAACTAAAAAACAAAAAATATTTATAGCGTGGAAATTGCCAAAAGATGTAAGAAATATATATAAGTATAATACAAATATTCGCAAAGACTCAAAAAAGTGGAAAACTTTCTTAATATTTATTTTTTTATCAATGCCTAATAAAAACAGTCCTCCAATGCTCTATTTATTTTTTACAAATTAAAATTTGTTTTTCGAAGAAAGCGGCATAGCATTTTACCCAATTTTTTTAAGTGCTCTGAAGACAAAAAAATCAGTGTAGATCTGAGAGAGATTATAGTCACTCAAAGTTTCTTCTTCTTCTTCTTCTTCTTCTTCTTCTTCTTCTTAATTGGCGCTGTAACCGCCTAAGCGATTTTAGCCGAGTCCAAAACAGCACGCCAGTCATTTCTCTTCTGTGCTAACTGACACCAATTGAAAATGCCAAGTGAAGCCAAATCCTTCTCCACCTGGTCTTTCCAACGCAGAGGAGGCCTTCCTCTTCCTCTGTTACCAGCATCGCGGCCCGCGTTGAATATTTTCAGAGCAGGAGCGTTTCTGTCCATCCGAACGACATGGCCAAGCCAGCGGAGCCGCTGAATTTTAATTCGCTGCACTATGTCTATATCGTTGTAAAGCTCATACAGCTCATCGTTAAATCGTCTGCGATATTCGCCATCACCAACGCGTAAAGGTCCGTAAATCTTTCGCAGAATCTTTCTCTCGAAAACTCCAAGAGCCGCCTCATCAGATGCTTTCATTGTCCATGCCTCCGCGCCATACACCAGCACAGGCATGATGAGTGACTTATAGAGTGTGATCTTTGTACGACGAGAGAGGACTTTACTTCTCAATTGCCTACTCAGCCCAAAGTAGCACTTGTTGGCAAGAGTGATTCTCCGTTGGATTTCAAGGCTGACATTATTATTGGTGTTAATGCTGGTTCCCAAATAAACGAAGTCGTCTACTTTTTCAAACTTGTAACTGTCAACAGTGACGTGGGTGCCAAGACGCGTATGCTCTGACTGTTTGTGTGCTGACAGGAGATACTTCGTTTTGTCCTCGTTCACCACCAGACCCATTCGCTTTGCTTCTCTATCCAATCCCGAGAAGGCAGAACAGACGTAGCTCTTGTTTTTACCGATAATATCGATGTCGTCGGCATACGCCAGCAATTGTACGCTCTTATAAAGTATTGTGCCTGAGCGGTTCAGTTCTGCGGCTCTTATTATCTTCTCCAACATAAGATTAAAGAAATCACACGAAAGGGAGTCCCCTTGTCTGAAACCTCGTTTGGTATCAAACGGCTCGGAGAGGTCCTTCCCTATTCTGACGGAGCTGGTGGTATTGCTCAACGTCATTTTACACAGCCGTATTAGTTTCGCGGGGATACCAAATTCAGACATCGCGGCATAAAGGCAACTTCTCTTCGTGCTGTCGAAAGCGGCTTTGAAATCGACAAATAGATGGTGTGTGTCGATCCTATTCTCGCGGGTCTTTTCCAAGATTTGGCGTATTGTGAATACCTGATCTATGGTGGATTTTCCAGGCCTAAAGCCACACTGATAAGGTCCAATCAGCTCGTTGACGGTGGGCTTCAGTCTTTCGCACAATACGCTCGATAAGACCTTGTAACCTATGCTTAGAAGGCTAATTCCGCGGTAGTTGGCGCGTATGGCGGGGTCGCCTTTCTTGTGGATTGGGCAGAGCACACTTAAATTCCAGTCGTCGGGCATGCGTTCATCTGACCATATTCTGCATACGAGCTGATGCATGCACCTAATCAGCTCCTCGCCGCCGTACTTGAATAGCTCGGCTGGCAGGCCGTCAGCTCCAGCAGCTTTGTTGTTTTTCAGCCGCGTAATCGCTATACGTACCTCGTCATAGTCAGGCGGTGGGACAGCTACTCCATCATCATCGACTGGGGACTCGGGTTCGTCTTCCTCACTACTTTACTTCTTTACTTTTTTACTTTACTACTTTCAGCGCTGCTACCACTCAAAGTTTCCTTTCAACAAATAACGCTTACAAGAAAACAAATTTCGAAAGTTCAAAACTTCCCAGATTTTGGAAGTTTATTTTTAAAATATTACAAAAAATATTATATCTACAATGATGGTTCTGATCTCATGTTAAAGGTGATATTTGTAAAAAAATATATTTAAAAAATTTAAAACTTAAAAAAAATTTTTAATTTAAAAAAGCGTAAAAAGAAAAACATATATAAATTTTTGGGATTTTTTTTTTTTATACAATTCCTCTAGATCTTAAAAGATCCTAAAAATTTCCCGGATTTTGGAAGTTTATTTTTTAAATCGTTCAAAAAATATTATACATATTTACAAAAATGGTTCTGATCTCGTTTTAAAGGTGATATTTGTAAAAAAAATATATTTAAAAAAAATGTAAACTAAAAAAAAAATTTTAATTAAAAAAGCGTAAAAAACTTATATAAATTTTGGGGAATTTCTTTTTTTAATATTCCTCTAGATCTTAAATCCTAAAAATTTCCAAAAGGTGAAATTGTGAAATTTGGGATTTTGTGTAGTTAAAAAAATTATTTTTTTTTTACCGTTAGTAGCGCTTTGTTATGTAAAAAAAAAAAAAATATTTACCATAATTCATCCAAATTAAAGATGGTCGATTCCAACCTTGATCGATTTGACGACTAGTTGATACAGTGATAGTACACAATAATAACAAAAAAAATTTGCTTGAAATAATAATGTGATATAGCACAAAACGAAATGTAACAAAATAAAATACATACTTAAGTATATAAACAGTAAATTTAATTAAATATGAAATACAGTTATAAAAATTGCTCCGACCGTGTATTGAGCCCATGTCCTACCGAGTTGTAGTACACAGCTCTGGTCACTCAGCTACCACGGCGACAAACTCACTTGCTCTGCGTGCTTACTGATTTGTTATTTTTATTATCAATTCACAATTGACAACAGCTGATCGTTTTGGTCAGTGTTGTCATCGAAAATGCCTCTGTTGGAGAACTACTAGCAGCAGGACTTAATTCAAGTCATCTGCAGTTGATTCGCGAGATTATTCTGAACTAACGAGGCTGCTGTTAGTCTATGTTTTAAGGGTAAGTTCATGTTGTTAATTTAGCTCTTTACATTTGTCTCTCATGACATTAATTTACCATTTTCTACGCTAAAAAGTTCACCCGCAGACAGGAGGTCGTAAATGAGTAATTATTAAGTTCGATACATGTTCAAGGCGGAGGCAGGATATGTGTTTTTTTCTGTCCGTAAAATGAGGTATGTATCTAACATACTGCTTATCTTAAGCAGAAGACAATTTAACTTCCACTATTACTTTTAGTAAAATCAGTATTTCGGAAACAATTATAGGTCATTTATGTGAGCTGACCAAATAAACGACAGAACATATTCACTGAAAATGTTTGGCTACCCGAAATCTCGCTCACCTAGTTGGCATTATATTGAGTCGAATTGAAATTTTTAATAAAATATCCGATAAAGTTCTGAGATAAGAATAATTCCCCTATTGAATCAATGTACAACAGACTACGTCAGAGTATCCGTTATTTAATTCAAACAGTTCCATACAATTTTTCTATTTCAAACAAAATAACTACTGAATAGCTTTAAAGCTTAGCTTTTAGCTAAGTATTATAAATATCTCCTTGTTTCAGAATTTCTAATATAATTTTTAAGAGTTATGTACATTTAATTTTAGGTACATACAAACATCCATACATATGTAGCTTTTAAGGAACACAAATAAAAAATCGTAACGATTTCATTCTTGTATCCCAATGCTATCGGTATTTTCTTTTTTATAGCCATCCTAAATTGTATTACTACAAATTTTATCTCCACTCCTGCTCACTCGCGCATTTCATTTGATTCTTATTCTTCCGTTCGCTTTAACTGTAAGCAGCTTTATGTACACTTTAATTTGGCTAATGCAGCTGC